CAAAAGCAAAAGGGTCCTTAATGGCAAAAAGGTATCTGTAAGGCTCACTCTTGGTCTAGTCAGATCTAAAAGAACACAGCAGTGTGTCTGCCCCAGAGAGTGCTTGCCACAATCTGCAAACAAAAAGTCTCAAGTCAATCTGATCTTGCTTTCTAAAATCCAGGAAATTTGTGATTTTTTGGTCTGTTTTGGGAGAGTTGATGGAAGAGAAAGGGCAAGAATTTGGAAGGAATTTTAATAATCAGACTTGCATCTATCACAAAAAAGAGTATGAGTAGTCAAGAGAATTCAGTTTAGTGTCAAGCACTTATATAAACATTATGTAATCAGATCTTATCACAGTCCTGTGTGGTGGGTGCTACTAAAATGATGAAACCTCAGGATGACTAATAGTGCCCATGTAACCCACAGAAAGCCCTAATCAAGGTCTTTGTAGCCCAGAGAAGTACTTTCTAAATCTAGGGCATTATAGGATTCTAGCGGTGCAAAAATGCAGTTGAGTTGTGTCACAGAACAGCAGCCTGGGCTAGAGAAATGTTCAGGGGCTGTGATTCAATGACTTGAGTGTGCTTTGCATACGGAGTTCAATCCTAGATATGACATGGTCCACTAAGCACCACGAGGAGTGACTCCTGAGCACAGATGCAGGAGTAGCCCTGAGCACCACCCTCAAACAAAAAAAAAAAGAAAGAAAAGAAAGAAAAGTGCAGCCTGTTCTCCACTGAGGCACAGGGCCAGAAAGGACTGGCTGCTATCTACTTTTCCAACTTCACTTGAGCCTGTTTGTCATCTCTGTCAATTTGCTCTAGGCTTATTTTCTTTTCTGTCTGAGAACAAATTCTTTGCTTTCTCATTCTTTGCATTCTGAAGACTTTTCCATTGATTACTCCTTTTGGGGGCATGAAAAGAGAAATGCTCCTTTTCCCTCACACTCCTTAGGTCTAGGTGAGAGGGAATATGAGCTCCAAAGATGGTCCTTAGAGAACCATTCCTATTAAGTATGGCCGCTTTTTTAATATATATTAATTTTGGGGCCACATCCAGAGATTACTTCTGACCTTGCACTCAGGAGTCACTCCTGGCAGGTTCAGGGGACCATATGGAATGCTGTGGATGGAACCTGTATCAGCCACGTGCAAGGCAAGCCCACAAGTATGAATTCTTGTTCAGTAATTCGGTTATCATAACACTATCCCTTCCACAGACTTTCTTTTTTCCTCCGTTTCTTTTGTTTTTTTGCCCATACTTGGTTGTACTCAGGGTGAATTACTGAGTTCAGGATCACTTTTGGAGGGGCAAGGTGTTCAGGGGACCATATGCCCCTATGCAGTGCTCAGAATCAAACTTGGGTGGACCTTATGCAAGGCAAGTGCTCTGCCTGCTGTACTCTCTCTTCAGCCCTTGTTTTTTTTTTTTTCTCATTAATCCCCTTTCCCACTTAAAAGAAAACTTATCGGGGCCTAGGGCTGAGAGGAGTGTTTTGTTCTTTGTTTTGTGGTATCAGGGATGGAACCCAAGGACTCATGTGCTCCACAGCTGAGCCACGGCCCTAGTCCCTTGTAACTGAAGCGTGCTACTTGTCATCTGTTCAGAGAAGATATAATTCATCTATGTTCTTGGTACTAGCATAGTCCTTCGCACAAATGAATCTCTCTGCTGAGGAACAAGGGAAAACTAACTTTATCCTGGAAATTCCCCAGCTCTAGTCTGAGAATATTATCAATCCTGAGGCATTTGCCAGCCTGAATAAGTCAAAGCCATGAATTCAGCTCTATACAGAAATAAGAAAGCCTAAAATCAAGGAAACATGAGTGGAAAATCATGCAGCTGTAAATCATATACAAAATCCAGGCGTTCTTTCCCTTTCCTTTGAGCAGAACATGACAGAGCTCATCTAGGTGTTATTAACAGTCTAAGGCTGAGTGGGTGGGCAGTGATTACTGGTGCTCTGCTCAGCTGCCTTTTAGAGGTATGCTCCATTCTCTGCTGCTCTCCTTTCTTCTCAAGTCAGTACTGTGATTATTTTCTGGAGGAATGAGCCTGAGTTGTTCGAGCCTGCTCTGCTGGTAGCACAGACCTCCTTTGCAGATGTCTGAGAATGTTGCTCTTCACTCTTATAAGTACCGTGCACTCACTAATTGCAGAATTCGAGCTACAATATCCTTCACTCTTAAATCATGACTGAGAGGTTGGGAACCTAAAACCAAGTTGCCCTCAACACACGCATGGGATTGTTGACTAGAGCAGGCTGGAGCCATTTTGCTGGATATACTATTGTTAGGCTTCTTTCTTTTCTCTGGCCCCGCTCCTTGTCAGAAACTTCTGGAGTCTGCCATAATTAGTAACAGTATTCTTTTCTGTTACTTAGGAAATATCTCCATGGTTGCAATTTGAAAAAGCTAAGTATTCCCTAGATTTATTTTGAAATTGTACATTTTCTGGAGTTTTTAAATACAATCTCACGAGTTAGTTCACTATTAAGTCTTTCACTATTAAGTCTGGTGCATCATTTACTCATGTTCTAATGAAATGCTTAGGGAAGTCTGTGCTTTTCACAGGTTATCAACATTTATTAAGGGCACAATTTCCTTGGCCTAATCTTTGACCATTAAGAAACGCAATAAGACACTTCATTATCTTAGCTAATGTGAAAGAGGGGGATAGTATAAAGAAATTGCAGTTGTTTTCACGTGAATGTTGTTTCAGAAACAATGAGAAGTAACTTTTTCTATAGCCATCTATCAAATATCTTAAAATTATATTACCATTTCATTTGTGATCCCCAATTCTAAGAAGTTGGGTGAGGCTGAATTACAGAAAAAAAAAATACAGGCCATTTTACATAGATGATGAAATAGAAGTAAACATCTTGAATTTTACCTTCTACTATTTTTACACATTTTTCAGATATTTTGAAAAATCATGAAATTACTTTGTCTTCAAGCTTTCAATTGCTCTTGTTTTGGGGCCATTCCCCAGCTGAGCTCAAGAATTAACCCTGGCGTGATGAGAGGGAACCTGGGGACACTGGTGCTGAGAAATGTACACTGGTGAAGAAATGGGTGTTGGAATACTGTTACGACCGGAGTCCAATAATGAACAGCTTTGTAATGGTCTATCTCACAGTGATTCAATAAAAACTTTAAAAAACAACGGATACTTGGATCCATGGTGATGGAAAATGGACACTGGTGGAGGGATGGGTATTTGATCATTGTATAATCGAAACCCATGCATAAAAATTTGTAAGTCTACAACTGTACCTCATGGTGTTTCACTAATAAAAATTTTAAAAAAAGAAGAAAAACAACAACAAAAACAAAAACAACTCACTTCTGGTTCTGCGCTCAGAGATCACTCCTGGGTGACTCTGCAATAATAGGGAATCTAGCTGAATTGGGCTGTGGGCAAAGCAAGGACTTAACCCCTGTAGTCTTTCTGGTTCCTTATTGCTTTTCTAAAGCTTTGTCTAATTAATTTTCCTCTGTTTTGGCTTACATATAAAATGCAGGAAAGGCAATAGTAGAGGAGGCCAACATGGAGGAGGAAGAAAATGTTTACTGCAGATGTTTTTGTTCTTGTACTCCACAAGCAGTGCTTGGGGGCTGAGGCCACTCCTGGAGATACTTGCCAACCAGGCCGGAGGTTCAATACTGGGGCCTGAGGATGTGGTGCTGCTCAGGCCCTGTGGTGCCAGGGACCGCTAGATCCACCCAGTATTCAGGATCCTTTGGGATCTCATGAGGGGATGACTAGGAAACCATGTGGATCCAGGATGGAGTAAGAAGACATGTGCTCTAACGCCTGTGCCCTATTGGCAGATTTTCAACTGGAGAGCAGCTAAATGAAAAAACTTTGTTTGCAGAGTCCCAAGTTCCAGGGTCACAAGCAGAACGCAAGAGGATGTGTTTGAAACTGAGAATGTTACCGAGACAAAAAAAAAAGGGGGGGGGCAGGGGAGAGCAGGCAGCTTCCACATAGGGCTCAGGGACCTAGAGGCCCATTCCTGGTAATCCTTTTTTGTTTTGTTTTTGGATCACACCTGGCAGTGCTCAGGGCTCACTCCTGGCCCTACACTCAGACCACTCCTGGTGGGCTTGGGGGATCACATGGTGCTGGCAATTGAACCCGGGTCAGCTGTGTGCAAGGGTAGTACCTCATCTACTATTGCTCCAGCTTTCAAACTTTGGCTGACTATGCAGGATTGATGGCTCAATGCTTGGGGCCTGGTAGTACTAGAGACGACCAGTCACCACAGTAGTGCATAGGAGCCACCAGGGTCATACCTGGTAGTGCTTGGATGGCCGTAAGTGGCTGGGATGGAACCTGGGCTTTACATATGAAGGGCATGCCCTCCAGTCCTTGAAGTAACCTCATCTTTATTTTTATTAATATGAACATTTTTATGCATTTAATTCAAACTAGATATAAATGCACTTTGCAGTTTGCTTATTTTATTTTCTAGACCATATGAAATATACACAGGTAATTTAAAACAACAAATCCAGTCAAGTATTTAGGCACTTGTGAAGAGCTGTATTAGGCCCAAAGAGTTTTATTATACTGAGGTTATGTTATACGTAATGTCTATAAGCAGAAGATAGAGGTCTTCTTAAATATTTGGGGAGGAAAAAAGACCCATTTTTTGGTCTGCTTTAGGGCCACACCTGGCAATATTAATTCTGAATCTGCACTCAGGAATCTCTCCTGGCAGTGCTTGGAAAACCATATTGGATGCTGGGGATTGAACTCAGGTCCAGTGCATGCAAGGCTAGCACCCTACTTGCTGTGCTACCTCTCTGGCCTCGGTATAACTTGAAGTGTATTATTGTATGATGGATTTTTGTACTCTAGGAGAACTTTGCTTTACCTTACACTGTTTCTTTTATTTCCCCCACTTTCTACGATTAAAAATAAAAATCATAAGCCCTGAGGTAATGTGGAAAAGATGCAAGCTTGTTTGCTGATTAGAATGTAAGTGTTAGGAGTTAAGAGTCTGATTCATTTTCACTTGAACACACATTTTATTTAGAATGCAGCACTAACAGCATGATGATAAACTGTCACAAATTTGTACCAGGAAGCTCACAATCTTTAAAATGTGTTTTTCGTTTTTTTCCCACAAGAAATCTAAGTATAGCATTATTATTATTTGGTACTAGAATCAAAGACGACATTTAGATTCTTCAACTTTGGGGCAATTAGTAACATGATTGAAATCGAAACGATTGTCTAGTCAGGCAGAGGAGAGAAATTCAAAAGCAGTTTCTTTTTCTTCTGTCAGTTCCTTTGCAGTAAGCTCCATCTTCTCACGGGAGAAATCGTTAATAGGGAGACCTTCAACAACCTTCCAGGTTTTATTCTGTTTGAAAATAATTATAATAAGAAATTTACAATTAAACTAGAAATGATCTTTGAGCAACCAGTAATTTAATCAGAACTTTTGGGGTACATTTTATTTTTGTGTCACTCTCTGCTGTGCACAGGGGACTGAAGATGAGACTACAGTACACAAAGTATATGTACCAGTACTTCAGTACTGTTTGCAGTGTGTGTGTGCGCGTGTGTGCGCCAGCGCGCGCACGCGTGTGCGTGAAGCAAGGAAGTTTTTAATTGAAACTTATTTAGGAAGATGTGAAGGGATAGAAAGGGAGAGGTACATGTTCAAGAGTGAACACAGGGTTCTCCAGAGAGGAAAAACACAAGCAAAGAAACATTGATACCAGCAAGTGAGATACATGTTTGAGGGAGAACATGGGCTTCAAGAGCAAGACATCAGTACTTTGGACTTACTCTCCTCAGTTCCTGAACTTTAAAGGAATTCCAGTTTTAAAATACAATTTCAAAGAAGATATCTAAATCCAATTCTTAATAAAATTCACTGAATCTAGGGAAAAAAATCTTTCAGTGGGTTTTAATGAATAGATATAAATAACCACCATCTTTAGTCGGATTACAATAAAGAAGAGCAGTATTTAAAACACTGCTTCGCTTGGAAGATACAATTCACAGGTATTCTTGGGGTGGACAGACAATACAGTGGTTATGGCACTTGCCTTGCAAGCAGCAGACTCAGTTTTTATTCCCAGCATCCCATATGGTCCTCCCAAGTCCACCAGGAGTGAACCCTGAGTGCAGAGCCAGGAGTAACTCTTGAGCACTGCTGGGTGTGGCTCCAAAACAAAACCCAAAATCCCCATCACAGACATTCAGTTTGGGGCACAATATAATGGGCCTTGTGGGAAGAGTTTAATCTTGCTCTGCAGAGTAACTTTAATCTTTTAATCACTTTAAGTTATGCTACATACAGTTTTAAAGCTGAGAAAAACACTGAATTTAGCAAAGGAACAACTTTCAAGATCAAGTTAGTTACTTTCTAGACTGAAGACGGAATAAACAGCACTGAATGATAATGAAACTTTGCCCTTGGAACACAAAGCTCAGATTACCAAACAGTGGGAAGGTAACAGGGTGGGGGTGTCGGCAAATGAAGAGATGGACAGAGGGACAGTTGTGGATGGCCTCTCGCATGTTAGTGGAGGTGAAGGGGCAGTAACTTTGTACAACAAATATTTAACACTATTGTAACCATGTTACCTATACTATAATTAAAAAACTATTTTTTAAAAAAGTAAATGTGAAAATAATTTCCTATCAGGAGAGAGAAGAGCAATCATTCTCCAAATAACCTACCTTGATTGTAACAGGGAATGAGTAGAGCAGATCCTCGGGAACACCATAGGAGTTGCCATCAGAGATAATGCCCATGGACACAAATTCTCCCTGAAAACAAGTGTTTAATGTTTGCAGGGTAGTTAGAGATTGCTACACAAACAACACACGAAGTTACAAAACTATCTAGGTGATAGTTTCCTATATGTATAGAACCTCATTGCTATATAGGAATCATCATTCAGCACTTTCATAAGGTAACTTCCATGGGTATCATCTCATTCTACTCTTTACATGTGAAGTAATCCACGGAAACAAATGCCTCATTTATAAGTAAGGGAGTTATGGCTCAGTATAGGTTTTAAGATTGAACACCATTACCCATGTATTTGTGCTAGGTGCTTTTCATATATCATCTCACTCACACAATGCTACCAGGTAAATGTCATGCCAAAGATGACACCAGCTTAGAGAGGTTGAAAAATAAAAAACCAACAATAACCAAAACAACATTTTCAAGGCTACAGAACCTGTAGGCAACTGAGTTAGGATGTGAACCTCATCCTAACTCAGTTGTTAAGGTATGTTAATATTACTAGCAAAGAGGGCAAAATAATAGTGGCCTATAAAAATCGGAGTCCTCACCTCTGGGGTTCCAAACCAGATGTCTCTGACATGGTCACAGATGGCTTTTGCAGCAGACATTGCACTGGAGAGCTTCCGAGCCTTGATCACAGCAGCACCTCGTTGCTGCACAGTCTGGAAGAAGGCAGGGAGAGAGCAACATCACTTGGTCATAACAGCTGAATTGTCACCAACCTCTAGCTGATTTTAGGGAAAGGCTACAACAGAAACTTCAGGGTCTCCTAATCAAGCAATCAGCCAGTCAGTCATACTAATTTATTTCAACAAAAGAATCTCATCTTCCTGCAAAGAGAAATCCACAAATTTCCACAGAATGCTTACCACAATCAAACTAATAAATGGGTCTTTTTTATAATTGGATGACTTGAAGGTATTCCAGGATTTTGATACTTTAACCATCAATCTTGACAGCAGCGGTAACAGATCGGATCAGAAAAGCCAACTTAAGCCCCCACCAAAGCATGCAGTCATCAGAGCAGTTGTGGGCCTGCTCACCTTCAATTTTTCCTCCCCACACCCTCACCCCTCGGAGAGGTCAGTGACATGGACTGTCTTTTAATAGTTATTCACTTGGCTATTATGAGGGCTCCTGTAGTTTTCTTACCGAGATAAATTCTCCTTTGAGCCAGCTGTCATTTTTCATAGCTTCATAAACACCAACTTCCTTTCCTTGCAGTTTCACCTTAGCATGGTTAACGTCTGGATACTGAGTTGAGGAGTGGTTTCCCCAAATAATGACATTCTTCACATCATTGGAAGTCACGCCAAGTTTAAGAGCAATCTAGTTTAAACAGAAAGTAAATAACTTAGAGAAATGCCTTTTCTTTCACATTGTTTGGAAAATCCCCTTACAATATAAAAAGTTCATGGGGGCCGGAGTACAGTGGGTACAGTGGGTAGAGTGCTTGCCTTGCACATAGCTGGGATTGGTCTCCAGCACCCCACATGGTCCCCTGAGCCCTGCCAGTATTAATCACTGATGGTGTCAGGTATGGTGCCCCTCTATCCCCAAAAGATACAATCAGGAACCTGAAACATTGGGGCAGAATGTTTAAGTAGACTTTGGAGAGCATCCTACAGTTTATGAAAACCTTACTAGTATAGTAGTTTTATAAAATATAAAGCATCAAGTGAGGTAATAGAACTTGACTCTACAGATCTGACCTTTGTTTTATTAACACATGGAAAGGTTTCTTCGGGACTTCTGAGCAGTTATATTTACATATTTTCCTCTATGTCTAAGTAATATTTTTATTATATAATACTACATATAAATTTCAAATAATCCTATATAGGAATTTTTGGAGTTGGAAGGGACTTAATTTTTATAGATTAGAAAGCTAAAGAGTATAAATATACGTATAATACTAAGACTGTAATAGTTACTAGTGTAGGTTCAGTAAAAAAATTTAGGACCCTGACTGCCTTGTAATTATATCAAGGTCAGCAATATTACACTGTAGCCAGTAGTGCTATGTCCATTGAGAATGTGTGCCAGTATTAATATTAAAGTGTGTACCTCTGGACCAACACTGCAGCTGAGTATAAAAGCACCATAACCAGACAATACCCACCCCATAGGTCACTGCAAATATAGCTCAAAAGAGAACTGGTGAAGAAAAAAAAAATAAAGTGGATAAATGAACTTGGTACATTGATACAGTGGAAGGATACTACAAGCATTAAATCGGTTTTAATGCTTGGAGTATACTTCTTAATCTTAAAGGGTTTCTTAACACATAATCTATTATTATACATTTTCAAAATAATAAAATTATTTCGAGAAGAGCTAAATTGTTGTTAGGACCTAAGAAAGTAGAGGGAAGGTGCACTTATAAAAAGGCAGCATGAAGGTATTCTTTGGTAGGTGATGAAACAATTCTGTATCTTGCTATGGTGACTAGAGAAATCTATTATCACAAAATTATTCAAGATGAAAGAAAATAAGTAATATACAAACTGCTGAAATGTGAAGTCTAATTAATTGTGCTATTTATTCCACTCTGGGGTTTGGATCATACTCCATAGATAGTTACCACTGGGAGAAGAGAAAGATGAAACACAGAATTCTTGCTACTATTTTTGCAATTCCTTCAAGAGTCTATAATTATTACAAAATAAAAGGTGAAAATCAAGCTAATCAGAAAAAGGTGAAGATGAAAAAGACCATCACCAAGAATGTTTGAAAAGGACTGATACATCTTCACGCTACTTTTTTCTTTTCTGCCAAGAAGCAAATTCCTTACTTTTATTATGTGTCTTAAACTAAGTTGAGACTCTTCTTAAATCCTAAAATGCGCAACAGAAAACAAGCCCAGAACTTTAAAATCTTTGATAACATATTTTAGTCACATCTGATCTAATCTCTGCTTTATACAAAGGTTGCAAGTACTAGGACAACTTAACATAAAATGGCTTCCAAATTAACTCAATGGTTGGTTCCTTGACTTTTAATTTGCTGAATGACTGGAATAAAACAGTATAGGATGCAATAAGTACTATTTTCCACTTTGTAATGCCCTGAAAAGACTTGGAATAATTGTTTTTACTGATATTTAAGTGGGCATCATAGAGATAAGGGCTGGAGTGATAGCACCGTGGGTAGGGCATGTGCCTTGCACGTGGTTGACCCGGCCGACCCGAGTTCAATTCCTCCGCCCCTCTCGGAGAGCCCGGCAAGCTACTGAGAGTATCTCACCCACATGGCAAAGCCTGGCAAGCTCCCCGTGACGTGTTCGATATGCCAAACACAGTAACAAGAAGTCTTAACTGGGGACGTTACTGGGCCCGCTCGAGCAAATCGATGAACAATGGGAGGACGTGGCAATGATAGTGTCATAAAGTAAATTTATATGTGGGCAAGTAACCCAGGATGTGCTTTACCAAGAACTTAGATTCCATAAATCCACTGCATGTCAACTTGAACAATTCAAAGTACAGCAATACATAATGCCTGTGCGCCCTCACCCTCAGCCCTCGACATTGCAGGCTTCCTTGCAAACCCTTATTTATTTTATCCCTGTTGCCCACTTCCTCTTGTTCTTTGATCTCCACAGCCGATCCAATTCTGCCTGAATAGCAAAGGCCATTTACTTTGGACCTAGGAGATTCATTTCTGAATTATCAGCCATGCTAGAGTTAGCTTAAATTAACATGTAATCAAGATAATTTCAAGATAATACTTTCTCTTTTAGGTACATTCAAATCTCTCATACAGATATGCTAAACAGTTTTGATTCTTCAGCCCTTTCATTCTCTTTCTGACATTAGCTGACTGGTTTCAACAAATTACCATGTCAGCAGAAATACATGCTTTGCTCTGCAAAAACACTGCAGACACAGAAGGGAGTTCTGCAAATGATAAAACATCACTCTGTACGTAAGTCCTCTGTGTTCAAAACAAATTATGAAATACTAGTAGCCATTCAAATACCTAAGAAATTACTATCTTGTTTGTTTTTGTTTTGGGGCTTGTTCTGTTTCTCTCTAGGTTAAGAATTTTCACAGGAGGAAGAAACTGCCTCTTAAAATTCACTGTAGTCCCAATGGCTGAGTTCAGCAATGCATCTGCCCCTTCATGAAGCATTCTGTACCAGACTGGTTTGCTGGAATATATGACATGTTAAAGTTCGACAAGTTAGCTCCTTTTTCCATCTTTCTTCATTCAGACTTTGGCTTCAACAAAGAAAAATTTTTAGAAACTAAAACGAAAGTGTCACTCAGTGGAACATTGGGAAGCTGAAGTTTCCAATGCCCTTCTTCACTAAAGGTCCTGGGCAAAATGGCAAAAAATGGTAGTTTACTTATGTGATCGTTCTTTTTCTCTCTGCAGCAACCAAGTAACCATGTGGCAATCTAGCATTCACAAGGGCACTATCTATATTACCCTTTCTTTCATAATCGGTCTACAGTATCCATATCTCCTGCCTTTGGGAATATTTGCAACTTCAGTCTTTATCTAATAACCCTCTAGCTGGAATATTAAGGAAATATTTTGGAGCTGCGCCTCTTCTCAAAGTTAATCTGCGTGACTAGTATTAATAAAGAAATTATAACCAATCTTTTTATCTGGGGGGGGGGTAGGGTTCGGTTGTTGTCATCCTGAGGACCGTATGTGCTGCCAGGGATCCAACCAGGGCTGGTCACATGCAAAGAAGCTCCTTGGCTTCTGTACTCTCTCTGGCACTGAGCCAGTCTTGATTAGAGTTTACTTTGCTGCAGGTTCCATGATAAAAGTTCACCTTATGGCAGGGGCGATAGTTTAATGGAAGAGAGTACATTTGCTTGATATCTAATCCCTGGGACTGCATGGTACCCAAAGCACTGTCAGGAGCAACGCTTGAAAGTAGTCCACTGCCCCATGTGGTCTAAAATCAAAACAAAAACTTGCTATAGACCTTTTCTTATTTGATCCAAATAACTACCCTTTGAGACTGTTTATTAGTTTATTAATCTGTTCTATAGCATGAGTACACTTTCTCAAGGTTACTGAGCTGAGTGCATTTATTCTACTTGATCTCATTCTGTAAGAACATACACAAGGGTTTGCAATCAAGGAAACCTAAGGTCATTCCATCAGTTACTAACTTTACAACTGAGTAGGTTCCTTGATCTTTCTAGGACTAAAGTTTAGTATCTATAAGTAGGGATAATAGCAATTCTCACAATAACTAAATGATAAATTATGTAAATGATAAATTATATGTAAGGTCTCCAGCTTATAGTAGATGGTAAGTAAATTATTTTCTCTTTTCCTGGGCACCACCTTCTCCACTACCTAAAAAATGATCAATTCTCAAATTAAGGCAGTGATTTTTAAAAAAAATTTATATATTAAATCACCGTGAGAAAAGTTACAAAGCTTTCAGGTGTAAGTTTCGGTCATACAATGATCAAACACCCATCCCTGCATATTTTCCACTACCAAGAACCCCACTATACCCCCCATCCCACCTTTCCCGATGCCTGTGAGGCAGATGATTTCCACTTAACTCTCTCTCTACTTTGATTGCATTCATTATTTCAACAAATGATGCACCACTATTATTTGGAATTTCCCCCCCCAAATCAGACCTGCTGAAAAGGCACTGTGAAATAATTTGTTTTCTATTGCTGGTTTTGAAGACCATATGGTAGCAGTTGCGTGATTTTGGATTTCTGATATTTTACTAATTAAGTCTGGAGGGATTTCTGCCAAAAGCTGCATAGTTACGAGATTGGTCTGTGTGCCTCTGGGGCCATGGAAGTTCTGGAGAGCTGCTCGTGGGGGGCAAGTCTCGGCCTCAGCGGGGCAGGAAGGAATGTGCTGGTTCCGTGCACATACCATGAGGCCGCAGTTGGTCCATCACCGCTGGCTGGCCAGTAAGCTCTGAGGCAGCGGCCACTGTGCTGCTGGGGTTGGGGGCAACGGCGCCATAGTTCAGTGCACAGTCATTCACATTTCTGCTGAAAGCTGCTGGGCTCTGAATTAGGTCTGTGTGCTTAAGGCAGAGATTTTTAAAGAAATACCTGATGTCATCTTTTGGTAAAGATTCCTCAAAGTTAATTTTTTTTCCCTCTAGGAAAAAAAAACCCAACTAACTTTGTAACCCTACCTAGTAGAGACAGTTGTGGATGAGGTCAGAAAAGGAACAAGGGAAAAGGAATGAGGTCATGTCTGAAAATTAGTACTTTGCTGTGATGTCCAAGGGCCACTGAGACCTCCTAGGAAGCCAGCACAGACACGAGATTTCTAATCTTTGAAAGGCTGCTGTGTTATTCTGGTGATAGATCCCTTGGTACATTCCTGAGTTCCAACTAGGTAAGGAAACTTGACAGTCAAATAAAATCTAGCAACTACGTAGTGACATTTGCTGCTGAGTAGCAAAAAAGTAAGAAATTTGGTGAAAAAATTAGATTATGTAGAGTAATATAAATATATAAAGCTGAAAATAGAATTAAGAAATAAAAAGTCTAGAGTTTGAGAGCTTAGTTGTTAGTTAATAATTCAGTGGTAGAGCACAGGTGTAAAGTCCTTGGTTCAATTTCTGGCACCAGTCCCCAAAACTATAGATGCTGCATACACCCCCGCCCCTTAAACCAACCTAAAATTATTATTACCATGTGAATGATCTACACTAGTGTCTGTGGTTCCACCCCCCACCCCCCAACGCCCCCCCACCACACTGCCAGTTCCATGCCAGGGATCAAACTCAGGTCATTTAAGGCCTCTACCATTGAGCAACCCTGACCTGCAGTGACTAATTTTTAACAATTGTAACATGAAAGCACTAGAAATATTTAATTATAGTTAGCAAAGGAAATATATTAGGAGATTAGGAGGTCCAATCTCTTGTCTTTAGGAACCTAAATTAAAAGACTAATGAACTAAAATAGCTCCCTATTAAATAGAACCTAAGATTCCACTTCTGTATGTAAACATGTATATGTATATAATGATATGGGAGGGGTCAGCAATCAAATTCAAGAGTCTCATGCATGTGAAACATGAGCTCTACTACTGAGCTCGGCTCCTTATCCCAGGATCTAACTATCTGAAAGAGAAACATTCATCAGATTTTAAAAGGCATTTTTCTTACCTGTGCTTTAGCTCGGTTGTGGTCCAAACGAGTCAGGCAACTGAAGTTCTCCTTGGGGATGGATGGTGCCGACTTGGAGGCAGTCAGGCAGTTGGTATTGGCTGGGTTTCCCACCACAATAACCTAGGATGTATTGTAGGCATCACCATGTTACAGATCATAAATTAATTAAATTATTCTATAAAATATACTGTTACTGTGTTTGGCATATCGAATATGTAATGGGTAGATTGCCAGGCTTTCCCATGCAGGCGAGATACTCTCGGTAGCTTGCCGGGCTCTCAGAGAGGGGTGGAGGAATCGAACTCGGGTTGGCCATGTTGGCTGCGTGCAAGGCAAATGCCCTACCCGCTGTGCTATCGCTCGCTTTTCTATTAGGTTTGTCTGAGCTAAACGTGTAGTTGTGAGTTGCTTAAACAAGGATATGTTCTAAGAAATGTGTTAGCTTATTTTGTCATTGTGTAAACAAGAGTATAATCACAATCCCAGATGGTATAGTCTACTATATACCTAGATTATGTGGTACAGCCATGGAAACTACTGTTGTGTATGCAATCAGTCCTGGACTGAAATGTTATTAGATGATGCATGACAATATAGCTATCATTGTAGTTCTGGAAGTTTTCTATTCTTCCTTCTAAAACTATTTTTTTTCCTTGTTTGTACCCACTGAGGTTAACAAAAACATTTAATAAAGCCACATAAATATATATATATATATATATATATATATATATATAATTTTCCAGGTGTCAATATTCAGGTATCAAGACCTGAGGTATTGAGGTTTTCCCAAAGATCTCTGTGTTTCCAAAACAGAGTACTTATTGATTCACTTGTCACAAAAAAACAAGTACCCTCCAGCTCTAACTTGGGGTTTGATTTATTCATGAACTTTTAGGAAAAGCAGCCCAACAAAAAAAATCCTAATAAAATAATTTAATCAACACTTTAGAATTCAAAGGGTTTTTTGCAACATTGCATACTTTCAAGAATTAACTGGATATATGCTATAATATAAATTATGAGCTAGGTCCCATCCACTATGCACATACTAAAATCAATCTTTAGGAGAAAGCACTTCATGATACTTCTTTGAGGGGAGGTATATGATACAATGAATTTACAACACAGTATAGAAAAGAGTATACATAAACTTAAAGTTTCAAAATTCTTTACAAAAGTGATAAAAACAAAACTTACCATGAAATAATATTATACTTGCAGAAAAGCTTTAGAAATATTACAAGGACTAACTCCCACTCCCTCTTTATCCAGATTCTTCAATTCACATAATTTCTTCCCCTTATCCCCTCTCATTCATTCTATCCTTTGCTTTTTCGGGGGCCCATTTTGGAGCAAGTGGCAAACATGACAAGCCAATGCACTGAAGTAGTCCAATACTGAAGTTACTTCCTCAAACAAGAACACTTTGGTCAAAGGGGTATTAGTCCAAGCAACCTTGTAATACGACCTGTACATTTCTATTCATTTTTGTTAATGATTACAGAAAATAAAGTTAGTCATTTAAAATGAATTACACAGAGAGCAAACATTTAGGTGCCAGTGAAATATAATTGGCCACTTTCAGTATTTTATAAAAAACTTACCTTTTCTTGAAGTTAGAATAGGGAAGAAAGTGTTTCAAGTTAGTGAAACATAATCAGCTTGTTTCTTCCTAGTTAACTGGCTAAGAAGGCCTCATCACAACATTAAGGCTAATTCAGAAATGACTATTTAAAAGTTAAGTATTTTTAAACAACACTAAATCGAGGAAATTTGAGCATTCGCAAGCCATCACCCTGCACAACCATGCATACAAATCCAAGCTTCTGCACAAATGTTCCCATGCAGATAAAAAGCAAAAGAGTTCTATCCATTCTCCACAGATTTATATGTTAGTATTAATTTCATGTCATAGGAATCAGCAAAGTATTTTTGAGCACCTCTGAATGTCATTTTCTACTGTAGAGCCCCCAAACAGAGTCATCAAGCAAAAAACACCAACAATTTGGTTTAACTTAAATACTGCATATGAAAAAATCACATAAAAACTCTATTGGTCACCTTAACTGACTTCTTGGCATATTTGTCCAGTGCTGCACCCTGGCACTTGAAGATTTTCACATTTGCTTTCAGCAAATCTTTTCTCTCCATGCCATCCCTTCTTGGCATAGAGCCGACAAGAATAGCCACATCCAGGTCTTTGAAGGCAATTTCTTCTTTATCAGTTGCAATAACATCTGTGAATGTAGCAATAAACCTGCAGAGTTACTTAAACACCAAAGTAGGTTTGCTTTTTCATATCAAATACATCCAATAATTCATCTGCAGAAAATGTACTAATTTAACATTATAACATCTACAGAAAAGCTAATGAATTAATCTTGCTTTTTCTATTTCACGAATTATCTCAATTTAAAAAACTTTCATACTTATAGGTCATGAATGGAGCCCTCCGGAGTGAGATCAGTGCCTTTGGAAGAGTCCCTGGGGACTGGAAAGATAGTGCAGAACCCCTGAGCACTGCCATATTTGGTCCCCCCAAAATCATCAACAAAAGAGATCTTATAGAGTTCCTGCATTCTTTCAACCAAATAGGACATACGTAAGAAGATGGCTGTCTATAAACCAGGAATTGGCCCCTAACCCAATCAGCTAGCTCTTTATCACTGAATTTATGGTCTCCAAAATTGTCAAAAATAAGTTTCTACTGCTTATAAATAAGACACAGAGTATGGTATTTTAGCTACAGCAATCCAAATGGACTAAGATAATCAGGATTCAGCATTGTTACTGTTAAATTTTTAGACCAGCGAAGTTAGTCATATTCAGGCTACTAAGGCATATATAGGAACATCAGCTGGAAAAAGAAAAAAAAATTTTTTTTTCACTCAGGTATCCTTATTTGTTCATAACTGATGGTGCGGTTATAATGAGGGACCTTAGGAGAGTAGAGGGAATTCAGGCAGAGACAGGGATAACATGGAAAGTTCAAGATAAAGTTTATTTGGAAAGAGTAATGGTGGGAAAGGGAGCCCACAGAATAGCCTGGGCAGGGTAATGCAGCCTCCACCTCCCCACCCCCCTGCCTTTTGGATCACACCTGGAGATGTTCAAGGGTTACTCCTGGCTGTGCACTCAGGAAATATTCCTGGCAGTACTCAGGGGACCATATGGGATATTGGGAATTGAACCCAGGTTGGCCATGTGCAAGGCAAATGGCCTACCTGCTGTGCTATCACTCTAGCCTCGCAGCCTTTAATACAACTATGTGATTAATTTTTTAAGTGGCAAACAACTGCTTAGAAAATGCCTATAAAACATTACGTGACTTCTGAGAATGATTCCTCTTGGCTGCTCTGTGCAACTTCTAGGAAAATGTCCTTAATCCTTTCTAAGAGAAAAAGACCACAACGATGGGGCCAGAATGATAGGACAGTGGGTAAAGTGTTTATCTTGCAACACAGCAGATCCGGGTTTGATTCCCCTGGCCCCACATATTCTCCTGAGCTCTGCCAGCTGAGCACTGCTGAGTGTGACCCAAAACAAAAACAAAGACCACAATGAAGCAATAAAAAATAAATTACATATATATATATACACACACGTATATATAATTATACAATGTCTTAATAATGATTCTTTTAATTAAATTTAAGACTTCTGGGGCTGGAGACATAGTAGAGTGGTTAAGTACTTGTTCTGCATGCGGCTGACATGGGTTCAATCCCCAGCAACCTAGATGGTCTCCCAAACCCTCCAAGAGTGATTCCTAAGTGTAGAACCAGGAGTAAGCCCTGAGCATGGCAGGGTGTGGCATTCCCCTTCACCCCCCCCAACTGCCTCCACATTTTAGACTTCTGTCTTACTTTGTATAAAAGCTCAATAGTTCTCAAAGTGACTTAGCAGAACTCTGGGACTTTTAAATTCATGCAGTGTATGGTACAATAAATTATACTATATATCAACCTGATAACTGGCAGATGAGATGGACTTTATGTGAAGGACAAACCAACTTCCAGCCTTCGGATAGCATATGACTCTGGAGGACAACTACAGAATTAAGAGTTTACTACAACACGATTTTATGATTATCATCTAAAAAAGGATTTATAAAACAATACAGTGTAGACAATCTCAGGTCTATAAGTCTTGTGAAATACATTAATAATTTTTTTAAACCTTATTAATGGTTTTCATTTTATCCTTATTCATTCTTAGCATGCATCTTACCAAGTATTTGCAGTTCAAACAATTAAAACTTTCATGAGGAAATTTTGCTTGTTTGTTTCTGGGCCACACCCCACTGTGCTTAGGGCCAGTTCCTGGTGATGCTTGGAGGACAAAATGCTATACCAGGGATCGAATCTGGGTCGGCAATGTGAAGCTGACCTTAACCACTGTACCGTCTTCACCAGTTCCATGAAATAATTTCGAATTGAGAGGCTAGTTTACAAAAATACGCACTTGCTTTTGAAAATACTCTAAAATATTTTTCTCCATTTTCTAACTTACCTTTCAGGAGGGGAAGGGCACAGTCTTGCAGTTCCATTAGGACACCTTCAAGGACACCCATCATGGGAGTGATATCCAACAAAACAAGAATTATAGGCTGCCAAACAAGAAGAATTTGTCACTTGGTTGCAAAATTGTTCTTTTGTTTATTTTTTGATTATTTGGTGTGTATATGTACAATTTCCATTAATTAGGCATAATTTTTAGGTCAGGTATTTAACATTAAGTCACTTTCAGAAAAAGGACTCTTGCTATTATGAAACCAGCAATGTTTTGCTAATGGATACTTAAGAGGAATTAAAAATTACTAAATTTAAAAGAATTAAGAAGAAATATTAAATTGAAAAGACATGCTAGTTTTCTGTCATCAATTTGCCTAATTTTAGTTTATGGAAACTTAGGCACAGTATTTGGCATAAAGAAAGAACTCAATATCCATGGCTGGCGAGAATGAATATAAAAAATGAATACCTTAGAAAAGGATTTTTAGTGATAGTGCCACTTCAGCAACTTTCTCTCTGGCATGAGTTTACCTAACAAATTACTGTCATCAATGGATAACTGATACTGACACTTGCTGGCTGCACCAAGTGTACTAAAACAATTCAGGGAAAGTAATTTTGATTTGCAAAGGGTTTCTATGTACCTGGAAGGGTGCATATAAATACCTTAACAACTTCCATTAATAACTCCCTTTATGGGTGTCCATTAAATTTACTAGATTACTCATTGCCTCAGGAACTAAAATTTCCTTATAATGAAACACAGGGTTTTATTGGTATTATTCTTACTTTGACTTAAATTTTATAGAACTTGTCCATACCTGGTCTTTACCAAAGACAGATCCATTTCCAATGCTGTACAGCAGTGAGTAGGCAATCTGACCAGCTGCTCCAGTCACAAGAACTCTGACTGGTTCAGACTGTAACGAGACCCATTAACATGCTATTAAAAGGTGTTATTTTACTCTGGAGATACTCAGCAATTTCCCCATAGCAAAATCTTTCATATATGGCTTTGCAGAATAACATTCCACTAAATATATCATGCACAAATCAACCGGAACATGTGTTCTTGGCTGCCTATTTCTGAAGTGCTATAAAATTCTCTGTTATGCTGGAGTACTTATATAATCTTATCCATTTAAAGATATTGTACCACTAAAACAGGCCTAACAATGTTGATGTGCATTATATGGTGACAGAAATCCCAGCTCCTAGAACCTTACAAATCTTATACTACTTCTATCTATTGTAATATAATCCTAAAAAATAAGGAGGAAAAATAAGACTTTTTAAAGAGAAACATGTAGTAATGATTGTCAACCTCAATCCAAAGGGAAAATAATTTCAAAAGGGAGAAAGGGAAAAGACAAAAGCATAACAGAGAGTTAAAAATCAAGATGTGCCCTTACAGAACTCAACAGTTCCTGAAACAAAACATAGAGATGTGCACAAAATGATGATTGATAATCCAAATGGGTCGGAGTGATAGCAGAGTGGGTAGGGCGTGTGCCTTGCACATGGCTGACCTGGCTGAACTAGGTTCGATTCCTCTGCCCCTATCAGATAGCCAGGCAAGCTACGAGAGTATCTTGCCCGCGTGGCAAAGCCTGGCAAGCTACCCGTGACTTATTCAATATGCCAAACACAGTAACAAGTGTCACAATGGAGACGTTACTGGGCCTGCTTGAGCAAATCGATGAACAACGGGAGGACAGTGACAGTGATAATCCAAATGATGAGCCCAACTTACTTAAAGAAGTTAAATTACAGGGCTGGAGAGATAGTACAGTGGATAGAGTGTTTCACATGCAGCTGACCCAAGTTTGATCCTTGGCACTCCATACAGTCCCCTGTGCACTGTCAGAAATAATTCCTGAGCAAAGAGCCAGGACTAACCAGTTAGCATCACTGGGTGTGCCCTGTTCAACCACCCCCCCCCCCCCCATGCCCCAAGTTAAATTTAGGCCCAGTAAATTTTAAAAAACAACGGAAATATCCCCATATTTCCATTAAAAACAGGCAAACAAAAGTGCTGGGTAACTTATTTGATAAATTTAATTTGATGGAAACATCCGATTAAAGTGAATGGTTCCAATGTAATGGATCCTTGAAAATACTGAGTAAACATACTTCTATGTCACATCTTTTCCTATCTGTGTAAGAAATGCCTCCTGAATGGAGTGAGGGTGGAAGCACTTGAGTTCTTTCTATTCAAAATTCCTTCCAGAAAGAAACTTATCTCTGAGATGGAAGGAAATGGGAGACTGCTAGGATACTTCTAACCTTGTAGCTCTAACCTCTGGAGGTCTGAAGTACTTGGAAATTTGGTACCTATCTCAGGAAAAAAGTGCCAATTGTAAAGAAATAGCTTTATAAAACATATAGCAGACTGTGTGCATTTCCCTCTTTCAGAGATGTGACCCCTGCAGGGGTGGGGATAAAACAGAGGAAAATATAAGTTTCTTTCTGACCTTCCAGATCTCTTCCACCTACTCACTCCTCCAAAGGCCTTTCTATCTCAAAGCAGAGTTTAATTTTCCACATATATCTACTTAATATGTTTTCAACTAATTTATATTCAGGTTCATAAAGAACACTAAAAACTGGTGTACGGTTAATATTTTCTATATGGCCTTTACAGGTTTTTAATGTTCTCATTTGTACCCTTTCCTTTGAAGCAGATGAGACCAAGGGAATAGAGGAATTATTTCCTCTTTAGGATGATAGCTAAAAATTTTACTATTTTTTGTAGTTTTGGTTTTAGAGTCATAACCGGCAGTGCTCAGGCCACTCCCAGCAGTACTTTGGGTTTGAGCTTGGGTTTCTTCCTACATGCAAAGCATGTGTGCCATCCTATCATGTTCTTTCCCTGGCCCTAGAATGTCAGTTGCTTTTTTGTTTTTGAGGGTTGTGTGGTTTGAGAGACAGAGGGGTGGTCAGGGCCTATTTCTGGTAGTGCTCTGGAGACTGTATACCAGTGACTGAATCAGAATTGATTGCCAAGGCAAAGCCTTAACCCTGTTCTATTTCTCTAGTTCTGGAAGTGAGCTTCTTAAGGCCTGGGTTGTCTGTTTAATTTGGTATTGTATTCCAACTGTGTAGAAAATGTCATGCTGTTGTTGGAACTCAAATAGCTGGAACTTATAAAAAAAATATTATACAGAACCTGAAATTATATGAGTTGTTTAGAAGCAAAATTAATACTATTTCTGGGCTGGAGCGATAGCACAACGGGTAGGACGTTTGCCTTGCACACGGCCAACCCGGGTTCGATTCCCAGCACCCCATATGGTCCCCAGAGCACTGCCAGGAGCAGTTCCTGAGTGCATGAGTCAGGAGTAACGCAACTTCTGTGCATTGCTGGGTGTGACCCAAAAAGAAAAAAAAAAATACCGCTTCCTACTTGCAACGAGAAGACTGAAAATAGTGATCACAATAGTTCCAGCAAGCAAAAATATTGATACTACTAATTTTAATGACGGGCTGGAGCGATAGCAGAGCGGGTAGGGCGTTTGCCTTGCACGCAGCCAACATGGCCGACCCGAGTTCGATTCCTCCGCCCCTCTCGGAGAGCCCGGCAAGCTACCGAGAGTATCTTGCCGGCACGGCAAAGCCTGGCAAGTTATCCGTGATGTATTGGATATGCCAGACACAGTAACAAGTCTCACAATGTTACTGGGCCCACTCAAGCAAATCCGTGAACAACAGGAGGACCTTGACCGTGAATTTTAATGATGACAGTGCTTTTGAAGGGAGGTGGGGGAGGGGGCGCAAAAGCAGGGGCTCCCACTGCTATGCTCAGGAGATCCAGGGACCATTCTTTGGGATATTCGTTCAAACGGGCCAAGAAGTTCAATGCTTGGCCTTGGAGTTGCCACACTGCTTGAACTAGGGTTCTTAAGCACGAAAGGCATGGTCTCCATCCAGCCTTTTGAGCCATACTTCAAGAACAACTACTATTATTATTTTGGCTGTCAGAGACACATCTGGTTGTGCTTAGGGTTTCTTTCTTTTTTTTTTTTCTTCCTCCTTTTTAGGTCACACCTGGTGATGCATAGGGGTTACTCCTGGCTCATGCACTCAGGAATTACTTCTGGCAGTGCTCGGGGGACCATATGGCATGCTGGGAATCAAACCTGGGTTGGCCATATGCAAGGCAAACGCCCTACCCACTGTCCTATTGCTCCAGCCCCAAGGGCTTGTTTCTAACTCAGTGCTCAGTAACCATTCCAGGCATTGCTCTGACCACATGAGGTGTTGGGAATCCAACCAGAGTTATTGAGTGCAAAACAAGAACCTCAACATGTTTACAATTTCTCCAGCCCAAACAAACCATTATCTTGCTTTATTAATAAATAGGTTGGGGCGGGGCAGTGGGAAGAACGAGAAAGATAGCACAGTAGTTAAGGTATTTGCATACAGCTGACCCCAGTTCTATCCTGGCATTGCATGTGACCATCAAGAGTGACTCCTGATCACAGAGCCAGGAATAAGCTGAGCACTGCTGAGTGAAGTCCAATCCCTCCCCATTCAAATAAATAAACAATATACCATAATAACAACACATAATGTACGCAGTGCTATTTTAGGCCAGAGAATCTATTAGTGACCCACATGCAGGAAACAAGAGGCTAAGTCAATTTTTGCAACAGGAGAGGAAGAATATAATAAATGAGACATGAGATAAATGAGATAATAAATGAGACTTAAAGTCTTTTGGGAAGGTTGGGATGGGGTTTGGGCCACATCAGGCAATATCTATGGCGCTGGGGACTGAACCAGTCAGTCCAAAGCCAGGTACGTAACTTCACCCCTATACTATCTCACCAGCTCTGGGGTTCAAATCTTTTTTTTTTAATTTTATTTTTAATTTTTATTTTTTTAAAATTTTTTTATTAGTGAAACACCATGAGGTACAGTTACAGACTTATAAATTTTTGTGGTTGGGTTTCAGTTATACAATGATCAAGTACCCATCCCTCCACCAGTGCCCATCCTCCACCACCACGGGTCCCAGCATCCCTCCCACCCCCCATCTCCCCCCTCTGGGGTTCAAATCTTGACTGTGCTTCTTATAACTATATTTTCTTCAGCAAACTACTATCTCCCTATCGTAAAAATGAAGATATTAATAGCAGCTGCTTAACAACTCGAGTAGTTAGCTATTAAGGACTCAGATGACAAAGCTTAGGAGCTATATGCAGCAGGTGCTGTAATTATAGGTTATGTTTCCACAGGATTTTCCTCTAAGGACCGTTAGAAGCTACTGCTTTTTTAGGGTGTTACTTGTTCCTATTTTGGGGCCACACCCGGCTATGCCCAGGGCTTACTCCTAGCTCAAGGATCATTCCTAGTGGTGGTTGGGGAACCATACTGGGTGCTGGGAATCAGACCCAGGTAGAGCACAAGGCTAGTGCTCTGCTCTGCCCACTATTCTAACTCTTTGGCCCCAACGTCTGTTACTTTTTAGGAGAGAAGTGACTTCCCACCGCTAGCAGTCGGTCTTTAACTCAATTTACACACCTATATGGCATTCAATCAATATTTGCTGGATGACTTGAAAGAGAAAAGGAAAAAAAAAACACTATTTACTTCAATGTAAAGCAAATTGGGATAGAGAGGGAAATTAAATCTTGCAATCTTGTAAAGCTTAACTTAAAAGTCAGGATAGATGGTTAGGTCAGAACTGTGCCTACCTCAGGTATTAATATTTGTTTTGTTTTTGGGTCACCCAGCTGTGTTCAGGGATCACTCTTGGCTGGCCCAGGAGACCATTATGTGTTGCCAGGGAGCCAACCTGCGTAGGCCACAAGAAAGCGCCTTACTGGCTGCACTATCTCTTTCTTTGACCCTGGAGAGTTAATTTTAGCTACTGAAAAATATGTTCACAGTATAACAGATCTTAGTGAAGGAAGAAGTTGCTGGCCAACTAATAAATGCCACCTCAGCATTTTCTTCTGTATTATGGGGAAAAATCATTTTCATAGGTAATTCTATCTTGTTATGAGTCAGATAAGACTAGTGTCTGATGATGAAACTATTTGAAGATGAAACAGGGGACAAAAGTGCCTATCTGGTTCTTTCTGCTCTGCAACACTGCAGTTGAAAATCAAAAGGGTGGGAGATTCATGCTGACTTTTCTTAATGTTACCAAGTGAAGACAGGTTACTATTCTCCGCTAAGATATCTGGGCAGTCTGCCAAGATCCAAAGAAGGAATGTCTTTGCTCTTGGCAGAGCACTAATGACCTTCCTGCAGATGCAGGCTCTGTATTGCGCATGTGCTAGAGTCTCAGTGATAAAGCTCCAATTTAGGTGTTCTTTCAACAGAAAAAAATGATGTCTTGCTTTTATTTTCTACCATACATAGATTTCTGTAGCAAAAAAAGACACTATTATTCAGATCCTTTCTGACAGTTTGTTCTTGCCCTATGTACAGAAAGGATTTCTATCTATAAAATTTTCTCTTTGACTTGCTTACAAAAGATGACTCTTAACTGATGGATCATAATCTCTTCCCAGGAGACAAGAGCTCATGTGAGAATTTCCTGTCAGTTTCAGTGAACTGACAAGAGTTTTTCCCTCATCTACTGTCTCTGGAGTGACCTTCCAGGATGAGGCCTGGCGTCACTGACTGTGCAGCAAAACAACACAAGGGGACCCTGATCTCTCTGTGACCTTGGAAAAACCATTTGACATCAGCAGGTCATGGTCTTCAGATTAGAAAAAAAACCTATTAGATAAGACAAATACAACACGGTATCATTTGTATCCCCATTATGAGCTAATTTTTTCTGGAACCTCAGCTACTGAAAATAAAAATCTCGGAATGACTTGATAAGTATCCCTATGACACAATATAATAAAATGAAAATACTGTGAAACCTCTATTGGGAAAATTGTCATGTGACCTTGAGCACATCACATTCTCCTGGGGGCTCCTATGTTATTGTTATTATTTTTGGCTTTTGGGTCACAGTGGGCAGTGCTTTCTGTCAACCAGCTCTGGCGTGCAAAGCAAGGGCTCCAGTCTTTTGAGCTATCACCACAGCCTCGCTAAGTTTTAAACTTTAAAATCTGAAGTGAGGTTTGTCAAAAACCTCACTTCAAAGGTTCTATCCAGTTTGTAAATATAAATACTCTTTCTTGCTTTGATGTCAAATGTCACCTTCAAACAGCCTTGCAGGTTATCCATCTACCGTCAGCATTCCCTCGCCATGCCCTCTTCCCACTTCCAGCTAAGATACTAGCTGGAGATCTAGGTCGCCTGATCTTCTACATCACGTTGTGTAACGTTTAAAAGGAGTGTTTCTAAAATTTCTAACATGCACATCAGTACAGCACCAGTATTTGGCTACTCTCTAACAGTCGGGCAGTGCAAAATGTAGATCAGTGAACCGGTTTTAAGTAACATTTTGCGAAATTAGATATGGCGAAAACACGTCTACGGAAAACGTAGATCATTATCTGGGGCACCTGGTAAGCTCCACCTTCACAGTCGAGCGCCTTCTGCTCTCCAGGGCTTCGGGAGCCCTTAGAAGCATTGCGAGCTTTTAAAGGAGAAAATATTAAGATGCAACCTCCCTCCCAGATCAAATCTTTATCGCCCTCCTCAAACCGCACAAAGTGCTTTGCAAAACCCGAAGGAAGACCAAATCTGCACAAAGAGATAATCCGCAGTCTCGTGTTTTGTCCGCCCGCCACGCAGGACTGAAATCGCACCTCTCAAGGGACAGCGATTTCCCCAGAGTCCTTTTATGAGATCCCTAGGTGGAAATCAATCTTTTTTCCAATGACTGGGTCATTGCGACAGTGCCCAGAAAACGAGTCGGGGCTTTCTAAAACGGGCGCGAAGGGCAGCGCCTTGCAACCTCCACCTCCGCCCCCCGCCCCCCAGCCCTTCAAGCTCAAAGACGTACAAGGGCGAGAAGGCCTGATGCGGGCAGAACCCAGGGCCCGGACAACTCACCATGACTGGGAAGTGCGCAGACAATTTCAGCACCTGCAGAGAAGCTCAGGAAGCCAGGTCACCTCTACCGCTGAATCGACTTGGGGAGAGGGCCCGGTGAGAGCGAGCAAAGGTTCCACTGCCGACCCGCGGCGCCTTCTGGGAACTGTAGTTTAGGTGGCACAGAGTCTGGCGCGATCACCAGCGCGTTTCTCGCCAGGGCTAAACTACATTTCCCGAGCTCCGATGGGGGTTATTTACCACACTCTTCTCCCTGCGCTCGGGACGATCGCAAAGTAGTCCCCGAGGGCGATCGGCTGTGATTGGAGGAGGGCGCCGAGCGGAGGGTTTGGACACGAGTTGGAGAGGTCCGCCTGATGGCGCCCAGCCATTGGTGGGACACAAGGCGCGTGTCCTGGGAGGGAGGAGAGACAGACCCCTCAGTTACATTCACTGTCCCCCCCCAACCCCCCCTCTCTCCCCCAACACGTGAGCAAATGAGACTTGATCCTCCCACAAGGGTAAACGTGGGAGGTTGAGACCTTCCGCTGCGTAAAGCCTGCTCGACCCGGAAACACAATTGGTTTTAAAACTCTTCACCCCGCGGAGGGGCGGGAGAAGCCGAAGCCCGGGCGCTGGCGGTCGGCTTCCCAGTTGCTAAGCGACGAGGCCGGAGCGCGCGCGCATCCGGGCCGCCCGGCTGTACCTGCGGGACTCGGTGGCTGCCGCTACTTCGGGGCCGCAGTGCAGACCCGCGGAACGTGCCGCGCCCTTGTGGACCCTTCTTTCTTAGCCCGAGCCCCGGTGCCCGGTCTAGGGTCGGGTGACGAGGGAAAAGATTTGCAGAGACGCTTCTGTGGAGGGCGTCTGGGGGCCTTGCGTCTTCCTCACTGCGGAGGCAGGTGAGCCCAAAAGCCTGTGCCAAAGTTTTTTTTTTTTTTTCTTTTGGGTTGTTTTTGGTTTTAATCCTTAGGGTTCCAGAATGTAATTGGAAGGATCCCGCATTGCCCTTTCCTACCTGGGTGCTAATCTGAGCGGATGTCCGCGATTTTGCCAGTCCCCTTTGGGCGCTGTGTTAGAACAGCAGCTTCCTTTCTGGAGTGTGCAATGTCCACAAGTTCTCGTCCCCTCGCCCCTGTTTAGATGCTTGTCTTCAAAGTTAAATTGAAAAGTAAATATCAAAGCAAATATTCAGTGTCTGCTTTGGGGAGGTGAGCGCCTCTTCCTGGAGCTCACAGCCCACCGATGTAACTTTTTTTCTCTGAAGCCCTCAGTCAAAGTTGACACGGTTGCCCTTTCTCTTTGGAAAGTCCGATGATCCTTTTTCCACTTCCCTGACTCTTGAGAGACAGCCTGTTTCTAACGCAAGCCAGTAGGAGATGCAGACACTGGTTATTACAGTCTGTTTCTGATGGTGGACCGGCTCAGAGGTGTCCATTTAAAGGTGTCCAAGAGAACTACCGTGATCTCTCCAATAATATTTTATGTGACTGTTTAAAGGAAGGTGTGATGTACTGAAATTAATATGCTTGAAATATGTAAGTTACATAGCTTTGGTATGACTTTTGTTTTCCTCTGGTGATCGCCAAATGGTATTTCCTCTGTTTTAGATTTGGAAGATGTTACGAGACCAACCTGAACTTTGTTTTTTTGGGGAGGTGGGGAGGTGGGGGGGTGGGGGAGGGGGTGTCACACCTGTCTGTGATCAGGGTTTACCCTTGGTGGTGCTCACCAGGGATCAAACTTGAGTCTCCAAGGCAAAGCCAGTCTTACCCACTGTACTGTCTCTCTGCCCTTCTGAACTAGCATTTTATAATACAGCTGAATAATTCAGTCCTCCTCAAACCATTTTGCTTTGGGAATGCTTCTCATGGTTTTCGTTTTATATCACTGGTTGCCTCTTCTCAGTGTTCCTTGCAAGTTCTCTCCTTGCCACCTCTGACCTCTTAACATTGGAGCAGTCCTGTTCTTATTATAATCTATCCACAACTTAATCATGTAAACACATGATTTTACAGACCACTGTCAAACCTTATCCCCCTCCAGTTTGTACCTAGGCCTGATTTATACTCATTTCCTCTTGATTTTCTCATTTGCTCTGATTTCACTATAGTATTTCCTACTGTATGTTGAATTTCACACACCACAAAATCACAAAATCACAAATCATCCTGTTGTCGATTGCCTCGAGCAGGCCCCAGTAACGTCTCCTTCATCCTAGCCCTGAGATTATATTCAAGGCTCTTTAGGAGAATGAGACCCATCATTGTTACTGGTATTTGGCATATTGGGTACGCCACGGGGAGTTTGCCAGACTCTGCCGTGTGGGCAGGCTATATTCAGTAGCCTGCCATTTTGTCCAAAGTAGGAATGAGATAATAAGATGTCATAATAAGATGTCCGGGAGCTGGTTTTTATAGTCTCTGAGTCTTGGCCGCTGATGGGATTACACGGCGCCAGGGGGCCAGTTGGTGGGTGTGACCCCCGCCTACTGGAATTTGGAGGATCTGGGTGGAGGATGCTCGACCCCAATCCGAGTAGGCTTGGAGATCTCGGCCCCGGAACCCGCGTGGCTTTGTCCCTCTGCCAGTACCTTCATGTGTGCGGAGAGTGGTCTCAGCATGGTGGTGGATGGTCCTGGAGGTCTTCGGCTGCCGGAGCCCTGGTCGGGGCGGGGAGGAAAGCTCAACCCGCTCCCCTCCAAACACCACACCCTTTGATAAAGTTAGTATCATATGTACTGTTGCTATCAAATGGCTTGGGGTTTGCCCTGTTCTAAAATGTTGGTTGTGGGTGCAGTTATGAGGTTTCAAATGGTACAGTGGTAAAGAGGTGATACTGGTTTTGATGGATACTAGTTTATCCAAGTGGGCAGGTTTAGTAAGTTGCTTATGTTCATGGGTAGGTGTTTGGGGATGTAGCACTGTGATAGGCCCTGAGGATTCATACATTAATATTTTAAGTTGCTGCTCTTTTGGAACCCCCAGTGTCAAGGAACAACGAAAGGTGAACTCATAATGATAATTTGATGTGACTGCTAGTAATGGAGGAAGTCTAAAGCTTGGCTGCCAGGACTCTACAAATTCCTTTGAAAAGGAGTAGTATTAATGGATGTTTTGGTTAGGAAGCTCAGGTTGGAAGTAGAAACAAATTTACAATGTTGTGGGTAGAGTTTAGGGTTGACAATTGTGAAACTCCTGATTTTTTTATTTTTATGTTTTAAAAAAAATTGAGCCACACCTGGATATACTTAGGGCATCCTCCTGACTCAGTTGTCAGGGATCTCCTCTTGCAGGGCTCAGAGGACCATATGTGGCACTAGAATAGAATCAGAGTAGTTGAATACGCCCTAACTCCAGTACAATCTCTCTGACCCAATTATTGAAAAAAAATTTGAGAGAGGGCATATTCAAGGCTCTGTGGTCAGGGACTACTTCTGGCAGTGCTCAGGGTACCATCTGCAATACTGGGAATTGAACTGGGGCCTGCTATGTGGAAGGCAAGTACCTTAACTTTAGTACTACTCAGCTCCTCGAATTCTTTTTTCTTTTTCTTTTATTATTTTTTTTGTGTTTTGGGTCACACCTGGCAATGCACAGGGGTTACTCCTGGCTCATGCACTCAGGAATTACTCCTGGCAGTGCTCAGGGGACCATATGGGATGCTGGGAATCGAACCCGGGTCGGCCTTGTGCAAGGCAAACGCCCTATCCTCTGTGCTATTGCTCCAGCCCCTCTTTTTTCTTTTTAACTAAAGCCCTAGAACTTCCTTATTCAAGGCACTCTACAGATACTAATGATCTGATGCCTTTGTTTACATGTGGCTATTTATTTATAATTTTAACTTTTTTCAAATCTGTTTTTATTGATGTAGCATAGTTTACAATATTGAAATTATTGTTTAATACTTGTGTTGCAACTACACCACTCCCTCCAGCATTTTCTCAAGATTACTTCCCCTCTTCCTTCTTGTTTGCCTACTCTCATCTTCATAGCCTTCTGGTTCCCATTCTGTTGACTGTGTCTCAGGATTTGTTTTTTTTGGAAATTGTCCAATCCTGTTCTTGTTTGTTTTACTCCACATATGAGCCAATAATATCATCTGACATTTGTTTCTTTGGTGGTGATTTTTAAAAAATTTATATTTCACTTAAATTAGCATGATGCCTTCCAGTTCTATCCAAGTTGTGGTAAAGTGTAAGATTTCATCTTTTCTCCTTGTGAAGTAGTATTTCATTATTTTTCATTTTCATTTCATTTCATCATCCTGTTATTCGTCGATTGCCTCGAGCAGGCCCCAGTAATATCTCTTTCATCCTAGCCCTGAGATTATATTCAAGGCTCTTTAGGAGAATGAGACCCATCATTGTTACTGGTATTTGGCATATTTGGTACGCCACGGGGAGTTTGCCAGACTCTGCCCTGTGGGCAGGCTACATTCGATAGCCTGCAAGTTTGTCCAAAGTAGGAATGAGATAATAAGATGTCATAAAAAGATGTCCTGATAAGATGTTGCGCGGCTGCAAATGCGGCCGCGTGGTTCTGGGAGCTGGATTTTATAGTCTCTGAGTCTTGGCTGTTGATGGGATTTCACGTCGCCAGGGGGCCAGGTGGTGGGTGTGACCCCCGCCTACTGGAATTTGGAGGATCTGGGTGGAGGATGCTCAACTCCAATCCGAGTAGGCTTGGAGATCTCGGCCCCGGAACCCGCGTGGCTTTGTCCCTCTGCCAGTACCTTCATGTGTGCGGAGAGAGGTCTCAGCATGGTGGTGGATGGTCCTGGAGGTCTTCGGCTGCCGGAGCCCTGGTCGGGGCGGGGAGGAAAGCTCAACCCGCTCCCCTCCATGTGTATATGTGTATATAATATTATACACATGTACATACCACGTATTTATCCATTTATTTGTTTGACACTTGTTTTTTTCCAAGACACTTGGACGCTGTAAATGATGCTGTGATGAATTTCAGTTTGCATATGTCCTTTCAAATGAATGTTTTTGTCTTTGTGGGCTAGGTGCACAGTAGTGGATTCACTTTTTTTGGATAAGTGTTCAAACTACTTTCCAAAGAGGCTTAACCAGGCAGCAGTCACACCAGCAGTGAAGGAGAACTTCATATTATCTACAGAAATTTTTGTCTATAGTCCTGTCAGTACTATTGTTTCAAGACTTTTTTATTTTTTTCTTTTGCTATGACTGTTGATGCTTAGGGATTACACCTGGTTCTGTGCTTCCGGGTAATCCCTGGGTATGCTTTAACTCTTATAGTATCTTAACCCCTGTGCTATCTCTGTGACCCCTGACATAGACCATTTTTGCTGCTGTGAACTGAGAACTCATTTGTTTTCATTTGAATTTCTCTTATATTCATTGATGGTGAATAGAGAATGATAGAGTCTCTGCATCTATCACTGTATAGTAGCACACTTTATTACTCTCTCTATATGTGCATATATATACATATACATGTACATGTATCTATCTATCTATCTATTTACATAGATAGACATATATACACACACATAAATATTGGTATTTGAGCCATACCTGACTGTGTTCAGGGCTTACTTCTGGCTCTGTGCTCAGGAATCACCTCCTGGCAGTGATGTGGTACTGGAAATCAAACCTGGTGAACCACATGCAAGACAGGTTCTCAACTTACTGTCCTATCTGTCTGGCTCCCACTCCCTCTTTTTTTCTTTAAGCTGTGCTGGAGATTCAACAAAGTCTCACAATGAAAGTGCTCTGCTGCGGAGCATCCCCCCTCACCACCCTCACTTAAGCTGTTAAAGAAAAAAAAATTTTTTTTGAAGTAACAACAGATTTTATTTGAAGGTTTTGAGGAAGGGGAGAAGGGTGAGAGAGAGAGAGACAGACAGACGGAGACAGAGAGAGAGACAGAGA